ACTGTCGGTCGTTCGATCGTCCTCTTAGATGGGATCACTTCCGGGAATCAAGGATACTTGCTCAGTAATTGTACTAGGTTGTGCTGCCTCATCCTTACTGTCTCTTCCCCTCCAATTCTTTCTCCCACCTTTCGGGGGGAGGTCGAGTTTAGGGACTACAGCCACAGTTTGGCGCAGGATCTGGTGCGGGATCCTGCTTCCAACCATCTCCACGTAAAAGAGCTACTTCGTCGCCTCTCCATTTAACCGGACGTTGCACTAAGTTTAGTCACCAGATTGGGTACTGACAGTTCTCCCTATGTGCAGTGAAGCTGATCATGAGGAGGACTGTCACCGCAGCATACACACACGCACACGCTCCAGGCTCAAAAATAAGTCAGATCGAATGGAAGTGAAATTGTGGCGAGGCGTCTAACTCGCCGTTCGCATGTCCCCACAGATGCCGGCCACTTTGTTGGCCGAGTCGAATTTTACGCCCTCGGATATCCGTGCGTCTCAAGAGTAAACAGAAGCTGTTGCGGCAGGAACTGACATGCTTAGGCTTGTATGCCTGGTCATATTGGCGAATTGGCAGAAAGTCTGCATTTTCACGCCAGCACATCGAGGCCAATGAGAATTTGGACATTTACGAGACAGAATTGTTTAGAACAAAGCCAGTATTGTATATGTTTATTTTTTATTAATTGTGTTAAAGCCAAAAGCCGTGGATTGGAGGGTTGCCAAATAACGCTATAATTCCGACCTCGCAGTCAGTCTAGTGTGTGTTTGTGTGGGTTGGCGGGCCGGTGGTCTAAGAGACAGGCGGTAATGGCCCCCTCTTAATGTGACCTCTGTAGTGGGATCCGAGCTGGGTGTGGCGACACTCCTCGAGGCGACTCGGACCGCGCTAGCTGTCCCCCCCCCCTTGTTATTCATGTTGATCCGCATGTGAAAACCTCGGCGTCTCGGTGGGCTTCGAACCCACGAAAGTACGGGGAAGGCTTAAGTTCAGCCAACGCTCTAATCACTTGAGCTACGAGGCCCCTCCCGACGACGCGAGTTTAATCACAATTGCGTCAAGTTACCCGCCCAGCCTACCGCAACGTCTGGAATCCACCAAATATGATACATTAAGTTGACTGCCTTAATAATTCCTTAGTAATTCCCCTAGAATCCACCAAATGACTACCAGACTCGCTCTCGTTATTGTTCGTTAACATTCCGGGTCAGTTGTTTTTTGTGGACCGGAGGGTCTGGTTGCACGCCCAGGCTCAGGCTAACGCCGTGCCATCCACCTGCGTCATCTGTCACTAACGTTCTTCTTGATTATGTCTTGACACCGGGTCCAAGTGGGCGAGGGGGAGGGAGTGCGGCAGGTTCCGCACCAGTTTACTATCATTCGAAAAAGAGATCACGCACAGGTCAGCGCGCTTTCTCTCACCCTGCTGTGTAGCGCACAGTGGGCATCGTCGGTCACGGCAGCCGAACTGTCGTGCGTATCTGATCATTAATTTAATTATTTGATTAGTAATTTGGTTTAATTATTAATTTGTGGTAGCAGAAAGCCCTGAATAATGGGAAGACGGACAAAATCGTGGTTTACTGTGGTGAGATCAAGTGACCACTCCCAGTAATTTATAGTTGGCGGGGAATTAATCTTTGGGATCACCTGAACGAAACTCAGTGTAAACTGCGGTTTCGATTTTCGTACTTATTCACAAAATCCAAATTTGCTTATGTCAACTTTCCTTTCTGACAAGCTTCATTGCTATTGCTCGCAAGCCGGATTAACGTATATATATAGTTGAATGAGTGCGTGTCGTCCAGGTTACAGGACATGCTCATCCCGTTGAAGTATCGATGGCAGTCAGCTAGAGACCAGGAATGTTACGGGAAGGAATACCAAAAAAAGACAAGGACAACTAAGGTGACCGAAGTCTAGCCACTCAGAAGAACGAGCGTGTCCCGTACACTGATTGGTGAATGTCCTCACCATGAAATTTGATCTTTCCTCTCACCAGTGGCCGGAGGAAGGCCCGTGGTCCAGCAGCAGAGCGAAAGACTTGAAAACTTTGAATGAAAAAGAATGCGTGTTTGAATAGCGGAACCTACAAGTCTAGGATGAAGTGTGAGAGGTTGCCGATGGCTAACAATTTAGAAATGGTTGTCTCTCGTCTCCCTGCTTGTTTTATTCGACGCCTTATATTTCCGTTATGTTGCAGAAATGGAGGAGATTGTAGTGGCATATTTGGGCCCACTTTCCGTTATCCAAATAGAAAATTCTAGACTTGATATGAGAAACTAATAACGAACAATCCTCCTTTCTCTTAAATGCCGTCGTCAGACGCTGCATTTCCACTTGTCCTGTGTTATGGCACAATCAGCTGGGGCTCAAGCCTGAAGAGCCTAGGTCATATTGCGGGTAGGTATTTCACCATACTATCAGATCCTGTTTGTTCAACTATGCCTTTCCTTCTGTTCGCCCGCGTGTCGTTGTTTTAAATTAACGGAAATTTGGAGTCTTGTACGACATTACCGAAACTATTATATCGTTAGGAATTCTTGGCATCTACGTCATGCTGAGACAGCCTAAACTGCCTCTGAGAGGTCACATTCAGCGGATGGACGACGAGTGACTATCCAAACCACTCTTCTGTGTAGATGTCGCCACGGGTTCCCGCCGACACGGAGGTCAAGTTTGTCGATAGAAGGACACTGAAGACGTCCTTGAAGCTTCTGCAGATCAACCCGCCCAACTGGGCAGACCTCGCCCGAGATCGGCCGACCTGGAGGAGGGCAGTGAAGACAAGCGCAGTGATCTACGAAGTCAACCGCATCACCGCCGCCAAAGCCAAACGCGAGGCTCGCATATCTCAACTGCGTCCACTCCGCAACGCAAACCCTCAATCGCCTCCGACCTGCCCATGCTGCCAGTGGACGTTCTGGACACCAATCGGTCTTAAACGACATCCTCGTACCAACTGCAACATCTGTACTACACCAGCTGCTTTGTACCCGTCCAACTCTGCCTCATTCCCCACGCCGACAACTAGCACTCCAACTTCCATCTTCCTTCTCCTCCTCCTCCTCCTCCTCCTCCTCCTCCTCCTCCTCTTCCTCCTTTTCCTTCCTCCATCGCCTTAAAATTCACTACGGCGGCTCCTGGACCCACCACCACCACTGCAAACGATCTTGACGCACCAACAAACGCCAAAGATGCGGACTCGGTCCATACCTGTCTCCATTGCGATCGGACCTCCACCTCACACATCGGCATGGTCGGTCACTTGCGAATTCATCGCACAGAGACCAGCGAACCAGTATCTGGAGCATCAGCCTAATCCCACCGCAATCGCTTCCACTGACCGCACTGCCCCCACACTTTGACTCACCGCATGAGCCTATTCGGCCACATGCGTATCCACGTGAGCGAAATTGACCGCAATCTCGACACGCCTAACACATCCAGCACGCCTACCATGCCTAGCCTCTCCTATGCGTCATTACGTCCGCGATGCTTTGAAGCTTGCATAATCTCAACCCAACTGCTGGTCAAGAACTCGTTCAGATCTTATCTCGAAAACCAGTTCTATAGAAATGCATGTCTGCTAGTTTTCTACTGAAACAAGGACCTTAGGAGTCTTTAAATTAAAAAATGCCTTTAGATGTTGGCATTAATGATCACATGTTCCGTACAGGTAGGACTGTTACTTTTATAAAGTACGGCATGATTCAAGATTACTCAAACACACCATGTTGGCAGCAGGGTGCCTCTAACTTTGACTATATATGCTAATACTTTTCATAATAATTCTTGTTAATATGGCTGAATTTATTTGGCAATATAATCGCGTTTTCCACGCAGTCTGTCCAGTTGCGTGTGGGCTTGTTTGGAGTGGCGGACTGGCGGGCTGTGAGTCAGGCTGAGGCGGCTCCTTCTTAACGTGACCTACGCCACTCTCACGGGTGTGAGATGCACGCCGCTCAACCCCCGTTGTGTGAAATCCTGGTGCTTGTGTTTGGGGGGTCAGGTCGTGTATGTGGCGCGCGCAGGCTAGGTCACGAGATATGTCGGCCATCGCGCGCATTCTCCGCACCTGTCAACCGACCGGCCCAGACAGTGACTAGGGCCTGGGAATGCGAAGGGAGAGTGAGGTCAACGATTCAGCGCATTTACCTCACTATAAACAATTTGACGCGTTTGAAGCCATCTCGGTGTGCTAAAAACCGTGGGTTTGAAGGCCGCAAACTGATGGGGTAACTTGGACTCCGCAGTCCGCCCAGCGTTGTGTGTGGAGCGGCCAGTTGGTGGCCTAAGAGTCAGGCTGCAATGGCTCCTTCTTGATGTGGCCTTTATGGCACTTCCACTCTGTGGGATCCGAGCCAGGTCTGGCGGCACGCCTAGGTGCGTCTATGGCCGTGCCAATCACCCTTTTGTTGTTGGTTAAAATCCTGGTTGTTTGCTGTGTGGACCAGGGGGTGTAGAGTGGAACGCCAAGTTGTGGGCTCTACCATGCCATCCACCTTCGGCCTCCCCCACCTCCCGTTTTCTTGATTTTGTCTTGACATCAGGTGCAGGTGGGGGAGGAAGAGTGTGAGGTAGATGCTGTGAATGTCTACATTCACGCGCAAGTCGCTGTCCCTGCTTCATGTTTTTGCGAAACGCCGGCGTAACTCATCGTCGACGACGGTCGAATTGTCCTTCCATCATACAATAAGGCCAGGTGGGTGAAAATCACTCATGCTTGGCGGTACTGCCTACATATTTGTTTCGCCAGCCAACAGTGGACTTTTGTATACCAACCCCACTCCTATATGTGGCCTAACGCATGTCCCGTTAACTGTAGCCCCATATGTTTTTGCTATTTTGCACTGGAATTATTGTGTCATCATAACGTCTGTCGCTTCCAGATGTGGAAGAAACATCAGTGTACTGAACCTAATATCTCACTTGGAATCCAGTTGACAGAACTCACAGCCATGTCATTGACGACGGCTTGAGAGTTTAGGTGAGTGGAGTTAGAATAATCCGAGGCGGAGGGGAAGCATTACAGATTGAGTTCTGCTGCCTCTCCTCAATCCCTTATAAGAGGGCTGGGAAGACAATGCATGGGGTCCCGGGGAGCATACTGAGAATGGCTGAATGAGAGCATTTCCGGTTCGCGAGTAGCGATTCTGCTGCAGGATGGGAAATTCGTTTCACCTGGACGGTCTGTCAGGGCAGAATAATGGCGACGATTGAGGGCTGGAATGCTTTTTTGTCGTCGCTGCCCTCCACCTCGTCTCCTCTCTGGTATCTTACTGAAGCGTCCTTTCGTCACACTGCCGGTATCGCATGTCGCTGGTCAGGGGACCGGCGCTACCAACACCAACCAAAACACGGGTTATGGAATCTTGTAGGATGCTATCGCACAGTGACCAGTGACATCGTCAGACAGTTTATCATACATGCCAAAAAGTGGTCCCAAATGAACATTAAATCTGGCATTATCTATCGCATTTTGCCGGACACGTATCAGAGACACAAAGCATTTTCGCGACTAATTTTAATTCGCGGAACACAGTCCGGCGATCTTGTCACGGCTGTTTTGATTTGCAGTAGCTGTGCATGAGTAAGGTGAGAATACATTATGCTACCTAACTGATGAAACGTGAGAACGGAAACTGACATGTCAAATTTGGGCACCTAAAACGTTGTCCATTCTGTCAATTTGCCTAGTGCGTTTTAAAATATGTTCCTTCTGCGGGCAGTATATCTTTATGGATTATTACATCAGTCAAAATGTTCATCAATCTGAGCAGGAACCAACCTTGCCTTATGACTAGGTGAGTGACTCTCCTTGACTTAGATTAGACATCCGAGAGTGCTTTTTCCTTGAGAAGAGATTAGTTTATCCGCAGGAGTTTTGAAACATTACCATGCTAATGCCGTTTTATACAATCAGCTATTGCCATGGACAATCATTATGTATAACTGAAACCTGAGTCCACCAATCTGACATGTATTTTGGCGTTTTCAGTATTATGACTTTTCTTTCAAAAATTGTAATTTTTTATCAACGAAATAACACTTGAATTACTTATTTTGCGTCTACATTTAACTGGTGTTTTGGTGGGCATGCTCGGACTGGTTTCAGCATGGTTAGTGAATTATCTTCAACTCAGGCGGAGTTCATGAGACAGGTAACTTACTGTATGTGAGGTTGGACAATTACTTGGAGTTTTCCAATAAATATTTCGGATATAGCACTTCCAGTCGTGTCTGCACCGTCGAAAGATAAGACGAGAAGCACCCCGCAGTGGGCCCGTTCTCTCCACGTCAAAGGCAGGTGATGACTCCTTTGATTGACCGCTTTAAAAATTCGATTCGATAATCGTCCTGCAATTTCTATTAGGGGAATATCTTAAAACTAACATGGTGAAATTACTCTCCAATGTGTTAGACGAGGTGCTTCTAACAGTGAGAGCAACACGTACTCGTATTCCCGCCTAGTAGGTGTAACTAGAAGCATTGCAGCAATCAGAAATATGGGCGCTTGGCTGTGGTGCCTCAATTAAATTCAGTTTTAGCAAGACAGAGTCGACGAAGGTGGTCGCATGAGACGACAAACACGATGACTGAAAACTTCAGGTTGTGGCCGAGCCTGTTGAACATCTCATGCAAAAGATATAGGCTCGAAATGGCTTCACGAGTGATAAGATTTAAGATCGCCGCAGCCTAAGGGCTAACTGCTGACAACAATTAGGTCAGAAACAGCCGTTCCGACCACCGGAGGGAAGATTTCGTTCCCCTTTTGGAATAGGCAAAATTTTTAACAAAAAATGTCCGAAAGCCAGGTTTTATTATAGGCACGGATTTCATTTGGACGGTCAACTAATGCGAAAACTTGATTTCCCTGGGGTTACTGGAGACGGCGTGCTCATACTGGAATAAAAATCCAAGAAGCAGGTGCGGTTGCGGTTGGATATGTATTCACTTTCCTGCGATACTTAAGAACCACATCCTCCGGAGAAATAAGAGGGCAGAGGGAGGTTGAATTCGAAAATTTGCAAAACACGAGCCTTTGACTAACATGCAGAATTCTTACTTCAGACTGGCGGAAGTACTTAAATAGAATTAGAGTAGTGGTAGTTCAGAGCTATCAACATTAACAGGAGTTAGTATCCTGTCAGAACTCAAATGAAGCCTGCGGCGGTTTTATGATCCCACGTGGAATAGGTTAGCATGTGGACAGTAGGCCATTGGCTATTAATTTTCGGCACGTAAATAAGTCAGCTACCTTCCCGTAGACTGAAATGACAATCGGCTCATTTGCTGCAGAAAAGAAATTTGTATCAAGGTTACTGAATGAAAGTTATTCAAAAACACAAAATTCATGTACAGTTTGAACAGCGCACTGAATCCCGAAATACTGCCTGTGATTTTCGAAACACCTCATTAGCCCATTGCTGCTGAAAGTCTATTGAATTAAATGTAATTAACTGTGATCGTTATGATGACAGCGCAGACATTACCTGTTGTCAAATATGTATTGCACGAAAATGTGTCAAAAGAATGCGTGCATAAGCGTAAGTAACGCGTGATTAAGACCCTACAACCTTAAGCTCATCCTCTCAGCCCATAGCTTTTCACTATAAAACTCTGTATGTTTGCAAAATATCCTACTACCACATCGGTTACCAATTATGGAAGTGTGAAAATGCCAATCTCTTTTGGAACAGAGTGGCAGACTTTCTTTCTGTTTGTAATCAGTAATATGCTGGTCGCGTGCCGATTTTTCCAAAGCAACATCATCAAATATGCCTTCACGTCTCGCCAACGTAATGTCGGATGTGTCTGCCTCCGTTCCCATTCATTCAGAATTATATTTTTATCCTTTGAAGCCATCCGACTCGTGTGCACATGTGTCTATTTACTTGACCGGAGTTATTATTTGACAAAACTCGAGGACTATTTTTTTCCTGGAATGCTCTTGTTATGTTAAGGTGATCTATAGCAAAGATTAACTCTCCATCTCCGCGGTAGACATCTTTGTGGTAAGATGTCTTATGTCGTTCTGACCGGGCAGTTAGTTGTTAACATTCGGCAGCATTGACGCCATTGTCTGCATGCAAATTGACTGTGTTTTTGTCTTATTAAAATC